ATTTAAAAAAAAAAAAAATAAATAAAAACCAGTTGAATCTACGTCAAAGACAACCCCTCGCAAAAAAAAAAACAAGAAAAAAAATCCGCTGCGCATGCACAAAGATTTTGCTCGACACGTAACTTTGTCGGTACCGTTAATCAACGGAACTAAAATTTATCCCGTCGGACTTGGCGCAATATTTAGTATTCCGTTACTTCGTCGTCGTTCGCGCGTCTGCTAATTACGTAAGAACGATCGTCGCGGTGAAACAACGTTCAGCAAGATCAACCGACTCTCGATCGACCGAGAGACACAGTCTGGAACCTATTATTGCAACAGAGACGGATGAACGTATTGCGCGTTCTGGGGAAATTCCCGTCTGGCATAAGAAGAAGGAAAACATTGTGCGAAGATTACAATGCGACGGCTCGATGCAATAATACAACTGCACGTAGTGCAGTCATGCCGATAATCTCAACAAAGACACAGTGGCTTAAGAATCACTCGCCCCCCCCCCCCCATCCATATCATACTTCCCTCATACTTCCGAACTTGTACCTGTTTACGAACGCGGCTCGAAAAGTTAACATCCGGTTAAGGAAAGTTAACTTAAATATCGGTGTCTACCAATGATTAACTCACGTTTAAATCGAGTGTAACTTAAACGATCAATATCGTCCGTTTCGTACTGTTAAATTACGGTTAAAACATGTGGCTAACCTGTCTAGTATTTAAAAATTGTGTAGCCATATTTAATGTGCGATAATGTTGATATAAAATGACAAATATTTCAGGACACAGAAATTTTCATAATTTACGTTGTTTTTTTGATGATGAGAATGATATTGTGATACCGGACAGAAGAAAAAAAGATTTAAACATCACATAAATTACTTGGAAGGGCTCGGTAACATCGAATTTAGAATGCGATTTCGATTGAGTAAAAATTGTTGTTATTGTAAATATTTTCTATCATTCTCCACTTTTCCCTGTCCTTAAGGGTTACTCTCTCTGTCCGTCTTTTTATTCCCTATTGCATTTTTATATTTTAATACCAAGTCAGTTAAAATCAGTTTTTCTAAATTTTTAAGAAATTTTAGAAAAATTTTCATTGCACGACAACGATTTTTCTTCGTTAATTTTTATTACAGTAAAAAATACTTGGACATTGGAAAGCATTTTCAGAAGATACGATTCCTATATCATCTAATCCCGTCAGGACAATCAATGTTCTACGTCCAAGTGCCTCCTGAATTATGTCACATGTTATAAGTTTAGCTAAACGTTCTAGATGGTGTGCTCGTAGAAACAATCGTAGAACAATCAATATTAAGCTGATAATTAATTTTAACCAGTTTCACTATAGTTCTCTTTTTTTTTTAACCAAACATATAATTTGTCTTGTAGTGAGACATTCAGTAATATCGTAGTTTGTGTCTATTATATATTGACTTGAAGGGTGTGCCTCCAGCGGAACACACACCAAAATTAATATAGATCGATCAATCAATTAATCAAATATCAATCAATCAACCAATCAATTAGATCCTGGGGTGGTGTTCTTTTAAGTTTGCGGGTTCGGAATTTTCCCATAAGTTCGCTGTTAAACCACTTGTATGGGGGGCGTTGATGTGGTGGTCATGATATCTCAGAGTCTCTTAATTTCTTCTTTAATTATTGAGATTTCCAAATCATGACGCAGAATTTTTTCGTGACATACTAAAACCCCGGTTAAACCACACAGTTGGCAAAAACGGGCATTAAAAAAATCCAAAACCATCCCCCCCTCCTCCTCACTTCTTCCCCTCCACTCTTACCAACCGAGTCTCCAATCAACGAAACAAACGAATAAAGGAATTTGTCGTCCAATACGTACTTAATTATTCTCAAAAATGTCCGTATAAAGTAAGTAGCTCCGGAGGGACGACAGATCCAGCTTTTTTGATCAAGTAAAGTGAAATGTTCACGAAATATCGGAAACATCCAGAGACGGCACCAACCCGGAAGCCAGATCAAGTAATGTTTGCAGATTGCAACTTGGCAGATAGGAACGGTAAACAGATCGCGTGCAGCTCTGGCATCTCTCCTAGAAATATCTGTTCTAAACTCCAAGACACAGCATGGCCGCGATGTTTCACTTTTGAGTACGACAAATATCAAATAGCACACATAGTCGTAAATCGTAAATCTACATTGACCGAGTCGAATGAAAGTAAGGCGCGATGTGTTTACCGTATGGAATGTCAAGAATAAATCCCACGCAATTATTAACGTACGACCGCGGCAAACTTGGATCAACGTTTTCGCAAATATCGCCCAGCGATGATCGATATGCGGAGAAACCAAAGAGATGATCGATTTCTCCCGTTACATCGTTGATAAGTGAGAATGAGAGAGAGAGAGAGAGAGAGAGAGAGAGAGAGAGAGAGAGAGAGAGAGAGAGAGAGAGAGAGAGAGAGAGAGAGAAGGACCGAGGGAGGGAGAGAGGGAAGGGGAGAAAGAGAGAGAGGGAGAGAATTTTTCTGCGAGCGCGAGCGACGCAGAAAGTTGTTTTCAGAAGCTCACTGAGAGAGAGAGCGGCTTCATTGAGCACTGGAAGCGAGCCAATAAGAGACCACACAGCAGAAAGTCTGGCCGCGTCGATGCGTTAGAGCGACGTCACGTGTCGTGACGTCTGGTGCCGTCCATGCGTACACCCGATATACCAGACCGCCGGCGTAGTATACCCGAGCAGAACAAAGTTGACACACAGAGGGGCTCTCGCAGATAACGAAGGATCGACGAAACAGTTATCGCGCGACGGCCACTCGACTTCGCGCGAAGCTTTGTGCTCAAGACAATTTTCGTACGCTTATGCAATAATGAGCTGGTGTCTTCAGCCGTCAGAAATACCGCCGTCGGACAACACTTTTCAACTCTCCGTTGCTCTTGAGCGCGCTTAGTTAGGAGGAAGTCTTATCTTCTAATTGTACAAACGCGGCATGAGTAATCAATCGTGGAACTTCCGTTGAGAAAGTCAAGTCGAGAGAATTGAGAAAATTACAACTTCCGACTCAACTCGATTAATTTTGCAAGTCTTAAACTTTGAACTTAATTAACAAATATGCAACGTACCTAAACGTACCTGCCCTAACCTCTTTTTCCTAGGTAGTCCTGATTTTGGGGGAAGAACTTGGAACCGTGTGAGCATTGCATCAAGCCCCCCCCCCTTCGCTTCGGGGCTATCTAGTTCATCACGTCGAGATACTGCGAATCCTACTTCCCTACCTCCACACCCATCCCAACTTATACCTACCTACCTAACCTTGCCAGCAGATCTTGAAAATGTTAACTATCGGATAAAGAAAAGTAAAGAAAGAGCGCGTTGAGATACTGCTAGGTTATCAATAGCCAGACTGGTCGTAGTTCTACGACATAAATACAACTACGTCATAATCTGCGTCATAGAAAGCGAGACAACGCGTGATCTTGAATGCATGGGAAGGTATAACATACCCACACAATAATTGTAACGCAATGGAATTATCTTATACGTTGGAATTTTTATTCAAAACGTACACTTCACTTTCAGCGGCACGCTTTAGCGATACTTACACGCTCATGAGAGCATATTCGCCAAGGCATGACGAGAGCAACGGAGGGTTGATGTGCGTCGAAATCTAGCAAATTCATTGCTTCTCATCTTTCGCTGAACCCAAAATATCGCATAAAATCTGAATTCGGGTTCAAAGATAGTGTGAACATTTTATTAATATTCGATAAGAAAAGTGTTTCCAAATTTATCCTTGATAAAATAACACTGTTGTGTTCTACAAATTTCACGAATTTTCGCTTCGTTATCTGAGGGTTAATTGGACGCGTACGCTCCTGTATTGTTTTGTCGCCTTTATGAGCACTTTAACACTTGACTGACTGCGCTGCTAATTTAATAGTTTTGTCGGATAAAAGGAAAAAGTAAGGTAAATATTTTGTTCTAAAAACTGCCATTTTATTTTGCTATCCATTAATGATCTTTTTATTCGTCCTGTTCTCTTCTCTCTCTCTCTCTCTCTCTCTCTAAGGAGAGTTCTCTCGTCAATGAAAAAAAATATTTAACCTCTTGCGTTGGAATGACGTGTTACGCGCGTCGCTCGCATGTCGTCGTTTGTTACCAGACGTCGCGATTGTTTAAAATTGTGTGGAAACGATTTCACGTAACAGCTCGCTTTCGATTATTTTAGACGAGCTCGTCACAGGCATCGGCCAATAAATTTCCAGCGCAAGAGGTTAAAAGATCGTCACCTGAAAACGGACGGTGGAGCCCCTGCGGAAATTCATGCATCATCCGCGTATGGATGACGTGGCCAGTCAAAGTGTTAAACAAGTCGCTCGGTTCTGCTCGGGCATGACACGCAACGAGCGCAGATTCGTTTATACCGCGCGATTTTTAATGTCGCAAAGTCGTAACATAACAGACTCGCTCGAACGTTGTTCCTCTCCATCTCCGATACGTACAAACGAAACATCGCACAATAATATCAATGACGCAACGACAATTACGCTAGCTACTTTTTGTCTACCAGAGTTTGCGCAATGTAATCCGCATTGTCTTAACTCGCATCATTACGATAATGCCGAACTGCCGTCAGATATGCAAAGGCGCTACGTCGATATCTGATAAGCTGTTATCAAGCGATAGTCCATCCCTATTCGATTATCAGCGCGTACTTCACATTACCGCACACTTCGCACAGTGCAAACGTAATCGTGATGGTGTGAAAAATCGCGCGGCGCAAACGAATCTTAATCTTCGTCAATAAGATAAATTCTACATTGCGTTGTGTAAGACTGATAATTCGGGGTAAGATCAATCTGGGACACCAATCCCTCATCCGTCCTTTGATTGTGCACTCCACGGAAATATGATGCACTCCTCGACTTTAGCATCACAGATTTTTTAATAAAAAAAAAAAGGAAAATGGAGGTTCCTCCTAGAATGATCTTACGAACCGATGACCGATAAGAGACAATGATAGCTACTTACAATCTGCTGCTCGGCTCGTTGCTAGCTTCGTCGCCCTCGATCCGGTACACCTTGCCAGACATGACGTACTCAAAACTATCCGCCCTGGAACCGCCTTCTTGTTCCGTGGCGTTCCACTCGTTTCCGTCAGGATAACCGTCCTCGCGCAACGTGGTGGCCAGCACGAGACGGAATTTGGCACCTAAGCACACGAAGAAACAAAGTTCCCTTTTACAGGCACTCCTTTTACATCGCAAGAATTGCTGAAAACGATTCGGCACGAGGCAAGGTCTCGATTGTCTCGAGTAAAGTTTCATCTGGCAGGCGTTGCGTCAAAAATATAAAAAGTACACGGTATCGCAATATATAAAATATATAAAGTGATATATAAAAATGTTATATCAACACAGATTAATCATGTACGACCAGCTACGGTCAGCTGGGAATGATCGATGATCGTGACAGCTCCACGGACACTCAAAGTCAGAGCGCGTTCTTTTCTTTCTCAGGTATCAATATCGACGCACCTCACGAAAAACCAAATTAGTGCGTGCCGAATTGGTATGAGCCAATTTATTTCGACCAACGTCGAATAACGGCGTCGACGTCTCATCGCCTCGCGTCGCAATGCTTACGCTTAATTGAGCGGAGGGTCTCTCCTTTCCTTTTCTTCCCCGTATTTGTCTCTCGCGGGCGCATAAAAAGCAAAGTCGCGAGGCGGCAACGACGGAATATAACCGGGTCCAATAATAGCCTTTACGCGAATGCATCGAAAACACATCGCGCGCGCGGTGTTGCATCAGTCGCGTGCATGTGCTCGGCTGGCTGGTGGCGCAGCTAGATTGTGTAAACGGAGAATTTAACTCTAATATCGCGTTACGAAACTTTATTCACACGATGCAAATCAAATAATTGGTGAATGTGTGTGCGCGCGCTCAGCATCAAACGGGGAAAAAAAAAGAAAAAAAAAAAAAAGAGGAAAAACGGGAGGAGGCAGGAAAACGGTAGATCATGCGCGCAGCTGAAATCACGAATTGATATTGCTGAGCTCGACTAATTTAATGCGACCGTGGATCGGCAAAATTAGTTGCGCGAACTCACACACACACACACACATATGTATAAGACACGCCGTTCTATTTTCCATTGCGCGAAATTACGTTAGCCGTGCGATGCAGGCCCCCCCCCCCGAGATTGCGATTGAAATCGATACGAATGGAAAGGAGGAAACGACGGAAGACAGTGTGCAGGAACGAGGAAGAGGCTGGAAAGGAGGTCACGGTATATAGCGTGAGAGCGAAACTGGAGCAGGTGAGGGAAAAAGATGTCCGTTCGTTTCAGCCGCAGCCGCAGCCGCAGCCGCAGCCTCTGCACTCGACTCGCTCGCTCCTTCTTCGTCCTCCAGTTCCGAGCACACGCGAGTCTCACGTCAAAAGGTTGTCAGGAGATCGAGAACGAACTGTACAGACTTTTGCAGAGAGAAGGCGCGGCAGAAACGCGCGCACATTTCCGAGGAGTCGGACTTCGGGACACTTTCAACAGACGTGACACTGCAAGCGCAGCGCACGACTTGCGTTCCGGCGCAACAACAATTAATTAATAAATCCCACTGAATCAACGAGCCGATGTGGCGTGGCGGATAAGAACGTCCGGCTAAACTGGCATTCAATTCGGCAGACAGGATCGCTCGCTCTCGCGCAGGAGGGAAGGTGATTTTCTTTTCTCTCAGCGAGCAGATCTTTCCGCAACGCGAGATGGATGGTCCGCCGAAGGAAGATCCGCCACCGCGGAATAGGCGTTCTCACACGTAACCCCGTGGACTGGAGCAAACGTAAGAAGGTCCCGGGACGCAAGGTCAAGGTTAAGTACGCGCCACGGCGAGCAGGTATAGCGTGTACTTTAATCGATACCACATCGTCAGCGCCATCGTGGCCGTCCGCCGGCGTCGCGGCGGCCGCTTCGTCGGCCACAAAGGAGCTTCGGGCGAAAGTCCATCCATCGGAGCAACAATCCTCGATATGCGACGATTTCAGGCATCGATATGTCTTATCGATTTGCATCGCAAATCGCCTCGACATAAATACTAGCGGCCGAACACACGAAAAGTTCATGTAACGAGGCCACGCGCGTTTTTCTTCCCGTCGATCGCGAAAAAGGCAACGCGCGTATCTCGCTTGCGTATACATTTGCGATGAAATTTTACGTAAATTTTCCCCGAGCGTTTTTCTTTTTTTTTTCTTTACATCTTGCGCACGCAAGACGAATCAAGCTGGAACTGAAAAAATCTCCTTTAGCGGCAAACTCGAAAAAAAAAAAAAAAACACTGGCGTCGCAATAATGAAACTTTAACAAAAACGAAAAGACCGTCTACAGTGAGAGTAAGAGAAAGAAGAGAGGAAATATCCTCTCACATACCCGCCGCGCGACACGCACGGACAGCGGAAGCCCAGTGCGTTTTTTACACAGGAGAGATTACTCGGAAGCTAAGTGAGTATGACGTCTAAGTGAATAATCGA